ACTGCTCAAGTGTAGCCTCTTATAGGGAAAGCTCAACACGTCTGATCTGATGTAGTTTGCAGCATCTCATGGTACTGCSACAGCTATTAAATACAGATAGCATTTTATATCTCTGTCTGTAGCCAATATAATAATATCATTTGAGATCTCTTAGACTAATAGCTTAGCAGCAAATGAAAATTTATGTAGTGTGTGCTGTGAGGGAATGAGACCCAAGAATAACTGGGGACTTTAGCTGTTTGATAGTGTAAACATAACCTGAGAGATGACAAACATGGCTGATGTAGGTTTGACCAATAAGAGAATATACCTTATATAGCAAGCGTCTCCTTTTTCTACCTATCACCTTGAAAATACTTAATGTAAAACTACAGTGTTGCGCAAGTATAATCCAAAGCTAGATTTCAAATGTTGCTTAATCTCACTCTTCATCTGAGCCAAAGTGGGTTATTGCAATGGACAATGCTCTTTAGTCTATCATTTATGCATGTGGAGAAATGGATTTGAACGGAACTATAAATGCCATTTTTTCAAGATATAAATTTCAAGTACTCCTTTCCAAAGTTATGAGCCTCAATTACTGAACCAACTCTATTTTGTTGAGCTACTGCAAAGATTGGAGTTGGCACCTACATGATTTTACAGCCTTGCTGTCTTAGATGAAAAAATACCAGGCATCCTTTTCCTCATTTCAAAATTTCTCAGACGAGTCAGATGAATAATCTCTCCTAATTTTCCTGGTTACTTGACAGCAGGTCTGTTCCGGTACACACCATCCCAAACATTCGCATCAATTCTTCACTCTGCTTTTCAGGACTTATGCCATAGTGTTCTTGTTCCCCTTTCCTGCTTGGTTTCTCCAAGGTCAACATTACATCTAGTCAAGAGGTTAAAACACCCCTCTTTGCTTTTTTGCATTGTAAAATAGGAGTTAGATTTMAAAACTTGCTGAATATAACAGAGATGTCTTTTTAAAGACCTGCTCCAGTGGCAGTTCTGAATTCTCCCGGATTTCTCAGGGGTTTTATTACACAAAGAGAAGTTTGTAAGCCTGATTTTAAAGCTTGTGAGCTGGCTTCTGCAAAAGCTTCTTTTCCTCATATCATATAGGTTAAACAGTAGGTTTTGAAAATACTTTGGGAAATGTCAAATGCCCATTCCTAGACATGATATCAAGTGCAGTTGCATGACATTAGCCCACATTATAAAAGTGTTGGCAAAATAACTCCTCCATATTGTTACAACAAACAAAGAGCTGGGTGGCTGATTGCATGTCCTACAGATGATTGTGCTGTCTCCATAATGCTTCAATTGATTTTCAAAGGACACACAAATTGAATATTGTACCACATCCAAACCTCTGCATGGCTGCATTGTGCAGCAAATAATTGCACACTGTGATAGGTGAGAGAAGTGCCAAATAATGTAACTAAACTTTATCTTGTCTATTTTGCAGGCCAGACTGCTAATCACATTGATTCTGGTGAGTCATGGGCCAAGACTGTATGGGTAGAGAGGCAGTGACTTCCATTCAATGAACAATAAGCTGATCGTGGATCTGAACATTTCATATTCTACAGAGCTGGAATTTTAAATTCAGCTCAGCTCACAACACAAATGCCTATTTCTACAGTCAGTGCATGTTAGTGTATTTGAATATTTTTCAAGGGTTTGGTTCTAGGCGTCAAACCACCATGGAAGTTATTTTTTATTATTGCCATTCCTTCTCAATTCCACAGACCTTTGTTTCTCCTTTACTTTTTTTTTTGTTTTGTTTTGTTTGCTTTGGTTTTTTTGTGTTGTTCTGTAATTTCACAGTTGATGATGATGTTCATTCAAATTATGCAAAAAAATCTGCATTTTGGAACAGTTAACATTTATTATTCCTTTAGTAGTTTTTGATTGAATTTCTATCTCTCAAGAGAGYACCTCATTTCAGTTTAATAAGTTATACCCTAAATCTGTTTATTAATGCATTTCCATAAAGAATTGGAATTCTACAACAGTAGAACGTTCCTCAGTAAACACTTTAGCAGTTATTCTGTTGAGATATTACAGACAATGTTTAGTCTCAATAGGAAAACTTCCTTTATCCTGTAATGMAGTGGGAAGAGTGGAAGGTCTGTCCATCACAATTTCACTTAGCAGCTGAATGTTCAGCTCATTAGCAACCTGGAAGACAAGAGCTGACAGATTCAAGTCATCAACCCTTGTCTCCTCTGGTGACAGCAAATATGTTATCGGGGGTGGCTTGCAGGTTTGGGAAGAGACAAATAGTTTGGATTGGGTTTGGTTTTTTTTTCCAAATTTCTGTTTTTAAACACAACGAGCTCTGTCTCTTTTTAGTGGGACTAACTCAGTGTAAAGGAAATTACAGCTGGCATTATCATGAAGTATGAACTTCCTCATCACTTGTTTTGCCCCTAAAGGCATGGACCAAAGTGGAGTTCTTCACAAATATCATCCGTTGAAATTTTCTTCATACTTAAAGAAAAAAATCCCACTACTGATGAGGAAGGAAATCTCAAATTTCGTAATATTTTTGAAAGACAACAAAAGAACATGCAGCTCACATACTTCAATGTTTTTAGTTCGGTAATAAGGAAATGTTTGCTTTAAAATCGTATGTGAACAACGTAGTTATTATTGCAGCCAACATTTCTCAAAAACGAAGAGAAGAGGAAAAGCAGAGCTCTTTTTTATTACATTTCACCTATTCCAACCTTTTTTCAAATTATTTTCAAGACTTTGAGTACATTAAAAAACCCTATTTCTTATGAAAATGAAAAGTTTTGGCTTTGAAGAACTACCTTGTTTTTTTCTAATTAAARCCATTTTATAATAATTTAATTCTACTTCAAAATCCATATAGGTCATTACAAACTTCCTTTGATTTCAAAAGTTTTTGGATAAGGTCTATAGGGAATTATGTAGGCAGGGTAAGAGAAAAAAACCCAGTCATTCTGCTCTTACAGATTTTCAGCTCAGACCTACAGTCATAGTTTCAGAGACAAATACTTGTAAGGGCAACATTTGGCCCTGAGATGTATTTTCAAAAGTAAATGAAATAGAATGCAATCACTACAGCTAGGAAAACAGCTAATTTACTTTTCAGACTATTTGTATTTATGACTTACATAATAAGGATTACCGATATTATTACATGGAGAGAAGTTAAGAGACTACATTGTAGATAATATTTTTTTATTAAAATATAGATGTAGATCTAGGCAACTCATTGATTTCTTGTTCTTGACATCATCTYATAAGTCACAAYACAGTGAGTTTCTGCATAAAATGTTATAGCAAGGARTGTTTTAAATCTACAAAATTTAGGCGCATATTCCAAATAAATTATTTTATGGCTGGTACACTCTTATTTTACTACTCTTTTCCTGCATTGATGAGGTTATCCCCAGCTCTGCTTAGTTTGTTTGAAGCGACATTGTCACTGTGCCAGTCCTGGGATGGGATCAATCTCCCTGTTGACCACGTGGCCTGATTTTAAGCTCTCTGGGGCATGGGGACACGTTCTTTGGCAATCTGASAGAGCAGCCCTGCCATCTCTGCTGTCCTCTTGTAAACACCATCAGCAAAGCGAACAGAGAGGGGTTTGGTGCTCCTTCCAATGCCTTTYACCATCTTAGGCCAAGGGAAGTTTTCAAGGCTGTTTTCCAGCTGTGTGGAGCAAGCCGTGCAGGTTTGACACACCAGTGCTTATGTTGTGTGTAGGTGTGTGGACAATTGGCCACAGTCACACGCAGGTGTACATCTATCTGTTTATCTCTACCATGTCAAATGGGTAATATGGCAAACTAAACTTGACTCAGAACCACCATTACATATACTAGAGTATGTGTAAGTATATGTATTCAATTGTTTTTCCAAAAAGGGGAGATTTTGGAAGGACWGCATGTTATGTTATGGCATGGCATTAAAGGATGTGAAATGTGCACTTGGACTTCAGATGTACGCTGTCACAGGACAAATAGGTTKCTGTGTTTTATTTTGACTCCTTTATATATGTATGTATGTGTGTGTATATGTTTATATATATATGTACATGCATACATACATGCATACATACATACACCAAAAAAGGAGGAAGTTTTTTTGTGCTTGGAAGTTTGTCACATATATTTGGCTAGAACACGTAGTTTCATAACACACCTTAATTTTTTGTGTACATGAACATATGCGCAGGTGCACATAAAAACCTTACTTTCATTTTTATTAGCAGGGTAAATTGCACGTGTGACAACAGAACTCAACATAAAAGCCATTTCATTGTGTACCTGAATTTTATTTCTTCTAGTTACACTTGTTCCACTTTGTGATCTGTAAACAAGTAGCTCACAAGGAAGCACTTAGGCATGGATTAATCTCATTTAACATTATACCTCAAAAAGTTCAGAAGTTAGCTSATCTGGCTGTGTCTTCAGTGAATGGCAGGAGACAGGAAAATCACCCCTGTGCAGAACAAGAATCTAGACTAGATAGTTGAATCACCAGCTGAGTGTGCTTATTTCTCTCCACTACAGTCAAAACACTACATTATCTTTAGAGAAGTAAATATTAGCTGCTAAAGTCAGCAGCTCTGAATCACATACCATCAGGCTACTAGGAAGTATTCATGGAGAAGTAGAGGAAGGTAGCTCAGTGTCTGAATGGCATTAGTATTTTGGGCTCCTTGTAGGTACCTGCACTCAGACACAGGCTGCTCTTCCACTCATGGCGTGGTGGGGGCAGTGATATCCGTAGGGTTTCGAGTGTGGCAAATGTATTTGTTCAGACAACCCAAACATTCATTAACTCTGCCCTTTCAACGAAATGGGATACGTGCAGGACATCATGCTACCAGGCAGCAGCCCAGGACTGCTCCAAGGGCTCAGCTGTGGTTTGCAATGGGCTCCCTGCTTGGAGCAGGGCTTGGCTGAGCAGCCTCAGGCATGTGCCATGGACCTGCTTGGTGGTGGGATGACCCACAAGACCAAAACATCTCTTCAGTACCCTTGTTGGGATGAAGATGATGATGATGAAGATGATGATGATGGTGATGAACATTGCTCTGACCCTGCACCCAATGTAATGTATGCTTTCTGGTGTCCTTTTCTTTCCCACTTACTCCTTACCCAGAGGAAATGAGAAAGGGAGTAGTATTTCTATGTGTTATACTCTATCACACTTTCAATGCCTCCAAATTCCTCCACTGAAAATCACATGGAATAACAATATTGTCTGGCAAGGCAGATTTCCTTCTTTCTAAAATGAGCTCCGAATAATATAGAGCGAACAAAGTGCATAAAAATTGACTGAAATTGTGGCACAAGGAATATGAAGCCGCTTGCTTCATGCGTACTATGTATATGAAATATTACTGCCTGGGAACCCAGTTTCATTCTTGTTATGCAAAATGATTTCTCTGAAATGTGTGAAGCCCAGTTCCAAAGTATTGTTTTAGTTCATGAAATTTTATTTGGAATACAGGAAAACAAAAGCTTCTCAGTTACATAATGTATAAAATCCTTCTTTGTGCAAGAGAAAGCTGTAATTCACTCTTTGAGATTCAGGAATGCCATGAACCTCCAGAGCTGAGTTAATATAATTAATTATCAGAACCACAAAATTATTTTCTTTTTATTATTATGATCTTTGTGTTTTGTTTTATCACACACATTTAAAATACTTTTACCTTGAGATGCTCTCTTAGACTTGTTATCTTAGTGATAACTGAGTTTATTTAACGTCAGTCATAGATTACACTTTCTCTCAAAACGAAACAGCTATTACAGSGCTGGGGTAAAAATTAGTGTGACCATGTAAACTATGGGTGAAATGGTGCTCCTAAATATTTAGGAGCCAAGTACTTGGCAACACACTGCCAGGTTACCACATCAGATATCCTTCTCTGTTTCTACTCCTACCTGTTTGCAGTAATGTAACTCAGCTTCAAAGGTACGTGCAGGTGCAGTAGGACATTGTTTCCCAACTGCTAAACAAAATTACATGCCATGTGTCTTGATCTCATTTGATTTTAGTAAATAAAACATGTAAGTTAATAATGTTTTGTCGTCCACAACTCTGTGCAAAGAAAGAAAATAATTGTATTTGGGGTAATTAATACATGTAATTGCTTTTAGCAAAAGACTCTCATTTCTGATATCCAGTCCTGTGCAAACCAAGACACTCAACTAAACATTCCAACAGCTTTGCCACTCTTTCAGGTAGAGATTATATCATCCAGACATTTTGGCAAGAGGCTGGGAGAAAAACAACTCAGGTGAGCAGGCAGGAGTTTGATGCTGAGCCTCTTGGTCTACAAAAGGGATTGTTGCCTGATTTTCTCAGTGTAGGGAGCACGGCATCTTGGCTTGCTCCATTTATCCAAAATACCATGTTTCCTTGTTCCCAGCTGTCAGCAAAGGAATAGCTGTGCTAGCAGTGGGCTGCCTCTTCTCCAGACAGTGCCGAGAGGAAAAGGAGAATAAACTGCTTTTGCCCTCAACCCCCACTGCTCTCACATAGCATTAGGCACCAGCAGTAAAGACTTCAACTAACTCATCTTTGAAGAGAAAACTTGAGTCACACTGTCTGTGGAATCCTCATTTTTCATCATTATAAAAATGTTTCCCAGTGCCAGGGTATCCCGGTGTTTATTCACTCCCCTGGCATCGCCGTGCAGGRGGTGGATGCCAACACAAAGCAATCTGTGAGAGGCAGACAAACACAGTGGGTGAGACTGGTTAGGAGATACAGACCAAGCACATCCCTTGGGAAGGGCCAGTCTGTTGCCAGTGTGACTGGGAGCCCCTGGGGGCTTCCAAAATGTGCCCTTTGGTGTCTTGGCTCGTGTGCYGGGTACATGGGGAAAACAATATGCGGTTTTACTGTGCCCAGCAACACATCTCCTGCCTCAAGCAGAATTAGATGGGYTTGCTTTTGGAAAAGAATGGGGGAAAACTCTTTGAACTGGGAGATTGATTCATGCATTTGCAGTTATATAAAATGTGTGTTTTTGCTGGAGCATCTCATTATGCAGCCACCATTTTGGCGTGCCAGTGTGATGAGCATGKCAGTTAACCACATAATTACAAAGAAGATGCACACAGGACTGTCTCTGTACCTTTGCCTTCTCTCAGACTAGCAAGTAATATGCCACCTTCACATTAGCATATGTAACTTTTGGAATTAAATCAGGATTTCACGCATAACTTCTTGCAGCTGCTGTCAGTTATGTCTGTTAATAAACTATGTCCTTGGCTGGCAATAAATCATTGTATATGTCAATTATTACTAATTGTCTGCCTGAAATTAGGATTTCAGTAACTTTTTCATGCAAACACCTCCATCAAGTTATTATACTGTCAAAATCTTACACTGAAATAAATTCTTCCTTTCTCTCTCTATGTCAGAACTACACAAGGTTGTTGAAAAAGTGAATGACATATTTTAATGGTGGTGAAAATTCCTTTTCACCCAGATCAGCCACATTTGAGTTATACATTGTTCACATTTTCAAGCATTTCTGCAACGCCACTTTATTTAAAACAAAAGCTGAGATTCTTCTGTAAGTAAAATACTCGAGGAGCTGAAGTTTGAAGAAAAATATTGATTATCACAAGGGTTCATAATAAAATCTTGAGATATGRCAACAAAGAGCCATTTTCAGAACAGAGGGGAGTAAATATTCTTTAATTTAAGAGAATACTGACCTGATTTTCCTCTTAGTTTCACTATTTTTATATTATAAAATGCCCAAATTATTCCAAACTTTAATTTATAACTGATACTAAAGGTCTAGCTACATAATGTAATGGACTATTATACAAAGAGTCCCTCATCCTCTCCAAGCTCAATTTAGACATGGAAAATATATATGATTATAATAAAGCAAACCCTCTTATAAGCAAATAATATTTGTTTAGGGGTAGACTGAATTAGTATGGGTGTCTGTTCCTATTCTGGCTGCTGGTTCACCTGGGTAGCTATTAGGTCTGAAGAAGAATACATGTTCACAGAATTTAAAGACATGACATTTACTGGAAACTGTATCTCTGAAATACAGCCATTGAGCATTAGAGATACACCTGAAAAATAACTAGAATAGACTCTTGAAAAACTTACCTTTTTTTTAACCATAAGAAAAAAAATGTAAATATGTAATGATCTGATGTCTAAAAACACGTAAATTGTATTCTTTTAAAAATGAGATTTATGCTCTCATTAAGGATATTGTGTTCTGTTGTRTTTTGTGGTGCTACAGAAATAAACGTAGTTATGTTTATACAGCAAATTTTCCACAGTGATGATATTTCTTAAAGCTTTTGAACAGGGAAAATGTCAAAAATAAGAATTAGATATTAATATCTTGAGGTTTAAAAATAGAAATAAATATTATCCTTTTCTCATGGATATAGAAGAAAAGTATTTACTTGAAACAACATACTTACGTTCTGGAGGTTTAAAAATGGCTCAGGAACAGGCTCCATTTTTGTCCTGTGAATATACTTATTTTTCTATGCTTTAAGATACACCATAGGCCAGTTTTGGTGCTGGCTGGTAACCTGTCAGAAGGAGCATGGATATGGTTTAGAGGATAACATGGGCCAAGCACTGTTCCCTTAAGGAAATTATGGATGCAATTACTTTGTTTTGGGGATGGAGGAGCTTTACACCGCTTGTGAGCCACATCCTGGCATTAKCCCTCAGGCCCAGAGTGCAGTCCTGTCTCATCTACTTGTACACAGACACAGACAGAGTCACCACTCCTCCAACCATACGAGATGCCCTGGGTTGTTTCAGAGACCTGCAGTGCCCATGCTGTGAGCAGCCAGGCTGAGCTCCCTTGGCTACAATGGGAACTTCACCACCAGGCTTCCCCACAAACTCCTGTGAGCAGACCCCTGCCTTCAGATCCTGTGATGGGAATCCTGTCTGTGGGACTCACAAAAACTGCTTAAACATTGTCATGTAGAACCATCTGAACACAGGATGTTATACTGACGCATCACCAGCTTTGCTGCACAGGTTCCCTGTGTCTGCTGGTGCCACACTGCTGCCTTGGATATCTTGATGCATTAGGGATCTGAGTCTGCCTCAGATAGCACGAGGCAGCTATGTTTGAGCAACTGAATTCTGCCCGTGGTGATAAAATTTTGAGTCATTTTCTGAAAGAAATTACCTTTATTAGCTCAAAGCACCAAAGTAAAACACCTCAGCTCCAGATCTGCAGAGAGTTTGCTCATGATGCAAAGAACATGGGAACTTCCCAGAAAGCAGAGTTTTGCACTGTAAATGACACTGCTCTCTTCCCCCAGAACGATGGTTTCACTGAGGTTAAAGAAAGACCTTTCATTGTTTCCCTTTAGTGATAAAACCCATATTGACTGTGGTTTAAAAGAACTAAAAGGCCCAGTCGAGGCTCACCATCTGTGTGGCTCAAACTGTTTAAATACGATCGCAATATTGATATTGCTCTAACCTCTGTTATGCCTCTCTGCCATCTGCAGAGCTGGGAGAACAGGTTTTCTTTATACTCACCATGACGAACTGTGTGATAGATTGAAGGAAATCATGTTTATATAAATACATATTGTGTATACAATACATATAAGATAACTTGAACAACTTGTCTGAACACCAAGTATCCAGGAAAGGACAGTAAGTCACCTCTGCTATCAAAACGCAAACAGAATTTTGTGCAGCTATAACCTTCCTGAAACAGGTGGCACGCAATTGTATGTTTGAAGGTTATGTGTTTTGTTGAACTTAGCAACAACAACTGGTAAGAATAGAAAAGTCAGTGTAATTTATTTTACCTAGAAGTCCAAGTAACAATGTTAAAATTCGTTTTGATGCAGTAAGAAATTGTCAAGAAAAGAGAGGTAACAATTTTATGACTGGTGATGAAATTGTGAACTAATATTGCCTATGTTACCATAAAATATGCATTTAGGAGTAGAATGATAATGAAGAAGTTCATACATTCACTTCAGTAACTGTCAAACATATAAACACATAGGGAGATATAAATAAATGAGAGAATCTCACTGGCTTTGGAAAGTGTGTCACAGAAAGAGATGCTGAGAGAAGCTGATCAGTGTCTGAACACAAACCTGTGTCAGCAGGTCTGCATGGAGCATCAGGGGAAGACTTTTGTCTAGGTAGCATGATTTTGGAGTTAAAATGTTATTCTAAGGAACTTGCTGCTGGTCCTTCTCTCAAAGAGGGCGCTTTGAAGAAGGAATCTGAGAGTTAAGTGTTTTTCTTTGTCATTTGGCAAAATTTTTCAGACCCACCCCACAAGCTGCTGAGGTCATTACAGACTTTTGGTTCACTGCAGCAGTGTCTGAATCATAGACRTCATGTAAGAACAGTGAGAAAGAGGGCAATTAGTGCTGGGCACGGAATAGCATGACATGATGAAAGTGGAGAGGAACTGAGGAGATGTTGACAAAGTTCGTTTCAAGCTGTAGAATAATTTTAAAGAGGAAAGGCTTAAATGTACTCTTCAAACTGGGAGTTCACAGAAACCACTACTCTGAAAAGCACTATGGCATTGTTCACCCAAAATGTAGCAATTCGACATCATGACCTTGCCAAGCACCAACCTGGTTCTGACTCAGAACACAAAATCCAACCGAGTGATTCATCAGCTTCCTTCTGCACAATTCATTTCCTGAAGAGCTTCCCATCTACTCTTGCTTTCCCTTAAGATCTAGCAATGGTGTGGCTGAAGATCCACATAAGAAATTTCACACTGGCAGACTAAAAAGGGGAAGATTAGTTCTTCTCAGAACATGTAATGCACGTTCTATTTACCTGTATTTTATGGGAGTGGCAGCAGCAAAACCAAGTCAATTTATAAATTAGGCCTGGTTTCACGGTGTTGTTTTCCAAATGAATCATCACATTGAGCTGATCACATTTTCTAATTTAAAAAAGTTTAAACATGCAGAAAAATGTACTTTTTCTCTCTTTATCTTATCAGGTACATCATCAGCACACTACCACCCTCTTCCACTAAAAATATTATCCACCATGCCAACTGTGAACATGCCTCAGGCTTATTTATTAAGGAACATTAAGCATTACCTCATATAGTGCATAGAAAATACATCCAATAACAACACAACATCTAAGAAAAATGCAGAAACCATTATTTGCTGTTAGTGGGGTTAGCAACTAATTTTCATCTTAGTCTGGGGGAAAAAAAGGGGCTGTTTTCACTTTACTGGTTGATTTCCTGGTGGGGATTGCACCATTTAAACTTTGTGTTCCTTTCATCAGTCTTACAAGTGAGACCAGACTGGTCAAGTCAGTTGATTTTATGGTGTGTCATTGTCAACACCTAGAATTCAAATTCATATGGCAAACAGATAATAAAATCAAAGGTTTATCATGCAATKATTATTCATTAGAGCTGGCACAGCTCTCACAAAGTCAAGAAATTATGAAGAGGATGGAAAATTGCAGTGAGCAGGAATTCCCTTTGGCAAGTAGGACTCATTACTTACCCTGTAGTAGCCATGACTGTTTCACATACATTGTCCATCCGCACCTCTCTCTCAGCATGCCTGAATTTCTCATATCTGTGCTTGGCCAGCCTCATCCACTAAGCCTGCACCTGCACACTAAAGCTCCCCCACCCATTTCACCAAGACTGAATTTTCTTATGCCACTACAGAACTCAGGTACTAGAAAACCCCCCAGCAGTGAGAAGGAGAGCTGGTTGGGCAACATCTGACACAATCCTCATGGTTACTGCAAACATTCTATTATGCCAAAGGGAAACCCTAGTAATGGAAATTTCCATTGTTGACATCCTTCCTTGACATCCTTATGCTTTCTGCTGCCATGACTCACAAGCAATGACCTGATGTGTAGGAGGTGAGACGGTTGGAGACTACCTTAAACGATGGCTATGGGACAGCTCTGTGAACACAAACTTCAGATTTTAATTTTTTGACCAAAGAAAAATGACATGTAYGGCATGATCCCCAATATTCTCCAGATTTCAGAGTTGGCACACTTCTCGGGAAGCCAAGAAGGCTGCCGGTACTCTGGTGGTGGCATGATCTCTAGCCTGAATTGGTAGATCTAATCTGGTTAGCTCACAACAAACTTACTGCAATTAGACACCCACCTAAAATAGCCTCTGGCTARCTGTCTGACTTTCTGTCCTATCTGTGAAACAGGCAAACAACATCAGGGTGTCTGAAAACTTTGGTCCTATCCTGATTCTAAAAACACCTCTGTGTGTATCCAGAATATTCATTTTGGCTTCACTGTGTTGGGGTCAGGTTGTGAAAAACAAAAGAAATCAAATAAATAATCTGGTGCAAAGGTAAGGATGAGACCAYGGTATGTAAAAGCTCTAACATGAGACATAAATATGACTCTGTCTCCATGGAATTCAGTGGTGTTATCATGACAGCATTTCCTTGTTTCATGGACAAAGGAAAAGACAAAAACGCAAGAGTTTCATAATGGTTTCTTAACAGTATCTGGTTTAGAGTTTAGGATTACAGCTGTCAGCATCCAATACACATTTCTCACTAGCTTCCTATGCTAACCAGTGAACTACATGTAGCATGTGAAAATATCCAAGGGTACGTGAAACATGTTCTCTCTGTACTGTTTCCAGGAATTTCTTAGTATCTCTATCTGAAGAAAGGAGTCCTGAGATGTTTGCTACTTGTCTTGCCAGAATGAGGGATTTAGGAATTCAATGCTTTTGAGGCTAACAAAAAGATGAGTTAGGACTTCATGGGACACATCTGCCAAGGCCATTCTCTCGAAAGAGAGATCTGCTGCCCACCAGTCCAAGTACTGCAGGGTGTCCCATGGTCATGTTGGCCTTTTTCATGAAGTGGGAGTACCACGGCTCCCTAGTAGCTCTAAGGCATGATGTCGTGGTTTAGTCTCCAGATGTCGACTCAGCCCCACATAGTTGCTCACTCACTTTTCCCCAATGAGATGAAAGAAAGTATTGGAAGAGTAAAAGTGATAAAACTCATGAGTGAGATAAAAACAGTTCAGTAGGTAACGCAAAAGCCGCACACAAAATCAGGTCAAAACAAGGAATTTATTCACCACTTCCCATGGGCAGGCAGGTGTTCAGCCAYCTAAAGGAAAGCAGCCTAARGRTGACTTGGGWTGACAWWTGYCRTCYCTYTYTYTYTYYTYYYCCCMGTTATWTAYGCTGAACATGATGCCATATGATGTGGRTTATCCCTTAGGGTCAGCTGTCCCAGCTGATCCTCTCTGAACTTTTTGTGCACCCCCAGCATTCTCTGTGGTGGGGTGGGGTGAGGAACAGAAAAGGCCTTGACTGTGTAAGAACTGTTCAGCRRTAACTAWAAGAYCCCTGTGTTACCAACACTGTTTTCASCACATAGCCCTAGTTTTCAGTGTGGCCCCTACTGGCTACTTTGAAGATAATTAACTGTGTCCGAGCAAAAACCATCAAACATACTAATCATTCTTGTGTACATTTTTCAAACTCACTGTGTTTGATAGGAGGAGTACACTACAGCCTATGGAGCAGTGTTTTTTCGAGGGTATGTGTCATTTGCCTTAAAAGGTGGCACATATTCACTTGGAGGTGCTTGGGGCATGTTTTTGGAGAGCTGTGAAGGGCAGAAGGAAACAAATTTGATGGGGATGTGTCCATATTGACATCAGTGAATGATATCTCTCCTACCTCCTAAGGTAAAATGGAGAAAACAAGTTTGCTCAGTGCAGAAGAATTCAGCAGGCTGAATGAGGTGGTAGAAGAGGCAAGTGTGGCTTTTCCAGCGCAGTTTTATGACCCAGCACTGCAGGGGATGTAAGTGTCAAAGTCCATTTGGGGTCAAACTCTTCTATTAGCTGTCCTAAGTGAAGTGTTATCAGTGCTCTTCTACAAAAAAACCTGTTCCAGGGGAAAGCTGCCACTCCTGTTGCCACTATTTTTGCCTACAGCTGYCCTTCCAAGTATGAGCCATGAGCTACTTTTTGAGAATTACATGAGGCCTTCCCCTTCTGGAGGCCAAGGAATGCAATCCACCCTTTCAGTACCTTGAGGAAAAATGTGTTTTCCACCCACAGTCAGGACATTGTGTGAAGGAGGATTTGGCTGCTTTTCTGGTGCCCTGAAACCTTCTTAATAGAAGGCACACAGGAGTCTTGTCTGAGCCAAATTTCACATCAAGACTCCTAAAAAGGGCTGGGTCTCTGACAAACTTTGGAGTGGAACAAGGATTCCAGCACCTCTAAACTGAAAGGGAATGTTTGCAGCAATAATCTTCAGCTTCCTATGATCTTTAGGGGAAGGAATGGAAAACAACGTCCTCCTGGAATATGCCTCTTCTGAAGGCCAAAAAGAGCTTCTGTSGACCATTGTTTTAGCAACACTAAAGGTGAAAGAGGCAGTTCTAGAAATGAGAATACTCAGTTTAGTTATAGAACAACCGTCAGTACTGGAAAAAACATTTCCCTGACCTAAYATTACAGAAACTGCTTTTGCTGTTTTTGAAGTGATGAACAGAATGCTACATGCTATCTTTAATTCAGAAACACATAACACATAAGTATTTACTGAAAGAAAATACATTTCCCTGCTGTAGAGAAGAGGATTCTGCCAAGGGCTTCTATCTGGCAAAGAGTCAAAGGCAAGACTCAAGGGAAATTTGGTCCTGCTCTGTCTCATAAGTTTCAGTGAGGTTTAAGGACAGTCACAGTGCAGATGGAGTTTCAAAGGCCAATAATGACAATGGGGTCCAAGCTCACTCTTTTTGGGGACAGGCACACCACAATTAAAACATATATTGGAGGTCCAATATGCAGATTTAAGTGGACAAGACCACAAGAAGAAAATCTGGTAAAATCCTCTCTGAATCTGGTTCTCCTCTGGAAAAATAGGACAAGGCATCAAATGTATCTGTTTAGGACTTAAGAATTGGCTGGTTTTAATTTTAATGGATGACTAATAGTAGCAATGTGCATAACATTTGGAGCATTCACCATACTTCCAGATCCTACATCTGTATTTATTATATATTCTTGTGTTCCTTACCCCTTACTGTAACTACAGAACAAAGGATTCTTCATTTTAAAGAACAGTTAGCAAAGAACACAACGTATACAGATCTCCATAACTGTTACAGAAGCATAATTCCCACAAAATTCACAAAATGGGGATCACCTAATGAAGGGACTAGTAGCGTGGTCGCAAAAATTTTTCACACAATGACTATAAGTGTATAATGCAGAGGGACAAAAGTATAAATGTCTTCAAAGTGRAAATTAGACCAACATGTCAGCTGAGATCATCAGTGACTGTTACGTACAATGACTTGGATCCAACTCCAAACTCTTCCAATCTCGAAAATCCAAAACATTTTTTTTTTTTGCAAATAGATACCCTACTCATTTATAGAAACACACTCTAAGCAACTGCTCCTGGGTGGTATCAAAGACAGAGCTRTGGGTATATTTGTCATATTTGGCCCTGCATTTCTCATGCTCTTATTCCCCCAAGATCACTGGCAGGTGGATGTGGAAGGAAAAAGTTTATATCATAGTTAGAGCGCCATATAAACAAAGTATTTAGGACGGTTCATTGCCTTACATCTTCTCTGCACTCTTTTTTCACCTTGCATTCCTCCCTGATAACCTACAGAACTTCTAACTGATGAATACTTTTGACTGGGATTCTGTGKTTTTTTGGCAGTTGTCTTTAGTTCTGTCACTTGGTCACAGCTGGGGAGATTAATTT